ATACCAGCATGGCTGCCATCATTTGAGACATCAGTGATATCAACACTGTTAGTATGATCATTTGTAGCATCAATGATACCCACATGTATTTCCCTCATTCGGTAAATGCTTGTCATCAGACAAGTGATTCATCAATGTTCGTCCAGTCTAACCACAAGCTCATCCAGACTTTTCAATTATGCACACTACAACAGAATTATTCCGTGCTTCTTAAATGGTGAAACATTTGCAAACGCTGCCACTTTGAAACTTGGTTTGGTGAAAGCCACTTTCCTCTTCTAATCCACGAGAGACACAAGATTATTTTCATAAACAAAAAGCCTTGGTTATGAATGTAGGCCAAGCTGATTTCAGAGCATATGCAGGGGACAATGGATCCCAGACCAGAGCCAGCGCTCTGCCTCGCTCCTCTTTGTCAAAATTGGTAATTTTGGCTTTATGTGATTTGGCACGCTGTATTTTTGTTTTGATAGCACAAGTCTCTCAAAATGGACATAATGGGTGTAGAAACATATGATTTGTGCAGTGTGACAATAAGACTATCAGCAGGCTGGGGATGGATTCCTTAAGACTGAGATAATTAGAGGTGAAAGATGGAAGAGTTATGGGTTGACCACAGTTTGGAGTGATGTTTGCATGTGGCTTTAAGCTCCAAATTATGCATGCAAACATGCCTATGAAAAAGAGCTCCAATGAGTGAGATTCAGAGTCAGAAATAACCTGGGGCAAAGGGCACAAACACCCCATAGGTATATTAGATTATTTTTAATTTCCCAAAACAATGCAATCACTGAGATTATTTGACTTAAAAATGATTTACTACCCCAGTGAGAGTATACATTTCATCATATATTACGTTTTCAGCTTGCTGTCTATCTCTCTATGTGTCTTTCTCTCCTTGTTTCTCTGTCATTAATAACCCTCTGTCTTAATGACTTTTCCAGAGCCATGTTTTGGAGCGGGCAGCTGCAGAGATCCGGAGAGATGTGGCGTTTGGGCATTTGGTGTGAGGCCAGAGGAGCCACAGTGCCATTAGCCTGTGACACTGGACTCTGACGAGCAGCTGTCCCTAATACCCTCCCAGAACAGATGTGCCGCTGCCCTTTCATCTCCTTATGGGAGCAAACGGCGAGCTTGCCACTGCCGCTGCCAAAAATAAATCAAGTCAAAGTATGTTTCCGTTCTAGTAATGGAGATTAATTCGGAAACACCCGGATTCAGATTAACCCGGACTGCATGAATCACCTGGCTGGCCATTCGTTGTGACAGTACTATGCTGTCTATGTCTAGCCTTGCGCTGTTGGCTAAAGTTATTAGGCTTCAGCGAAAGACAAGGAAAGGTACGGCGTGTAGAGAGAGAGAGAGAGAGAGAGAGAGAGAGAGAGAGAGAGAGAGAGAGAGAGAGAGAGAGGAATTAAACAGATAAATCTGAACAGCTTTCTGCGAAATCAAATTAGCGCCCTCTCAATCTTATCAGTTGGGCGTTTTTTCTTCCTGTTTTCTTTTTTTTCCAGCTCTTGAATAGTCTATTGAGAAACACATTCTCTCTCTCCCTCTCTCTCTTTTTCACCATCATCGCACTGTGAAACAACACAGTGATCATCCCAATAGATCTTCAGTGTCAGACTATTCAACAGGAGACTGATGAACCCCACTCAGCTCTCTGCACTAAGTGGATGTATCACAGCCTGGCTGAAAACAGTCACTCATTAACACATGGCTTCAGTAAATCATCAGATCAAACTCACACACAGACAGATAGAAATGACAAGGAAGCACAAGCGAATCCCACTGGGGGTTTTAAATAAATCTACCGCCTACATAATCATTCAGAGCGATTGCATAGTTAATTAAGGGGGTGGCGCTAATTATAATAGCATGACAACGAAGGGTTTTTTCTTACATTTACCAATGTTTGCCATATGGTCAACTTATTATACGCATAATTATGAACTAATGACACATTAGCACACTTGAAAACAACTCACAAGAACTCAAAAAACTTTCATTGCATTCTGCACTGTATTTGTGTCACAAAAACGGCACTCACTAGTTTTAGTATTAATTTGCAGAGTACGCATACTAATCGTACAGCTTTATAGCCATCATTAGGCAAAAAAGAAATAAAGACAGAAAGGAAGATACTGTTAAATTAACAGACACTTTCTCAAAGCAATAAGTCTATGTGTATGTGCACATTATTAAATAGATAAAGGAGTTTATTTAATAGGCAAAATGCAGCACATTCCATATTCCACTGACTTCCAGCAGTTTCTAAGGCTTGAAGGTAAGCTCTGGGAGCCCAAAGGAAATTGTAGGGATTTGATTTAGTCCGCTGGCTTTGGAATTCACTGATAAGGACAGCAGATATATTAGGTGTCAACATGGGAGGGACAAGTGACTGGAAGGAGATGCAATCAAACAGAAGGCAAAGCGAGTTAAGGATTCTCCTGTTACAAAACCACAAGCAGATTTCTCTAGAAACAACAAAACAACAGAGCATGTTGGCTGTTTCTACACTGTTTAAGTATCTGCTAAGCCATCAGAGTGATTCTAAGCTGTTTTTCCTCCAGTTTTCATTTGATGCGGAGACGCGGAAGGCTGACCTCAGGAGGAAATTGCCAGTAAAGGGCCTGCACAGAAAGCCCTAGGCCGACGACATGGTTCTCAGCAGTATCCGCCAAACACACAAGCAACAAGCCAATAAATCACACCCATTTCAGCTCTCACAGCTGATAAATGAGGACAAGTTTGATCTAGTAGGCTGCCTGACAGGATGATGCTATTCATACCACACAATTAAAATGAAACGGTATACTGTAGGGGGGCTGCATATTTGTTTACTTACACATGCAGTCTTTGCAAGCTTCTTTTCCTTGGCGCTGAGGAACGTTTTATGTGTGGTTCTGAACATCGCATTCAGCTTTACCAGAGAACTAAACTGTAGAGATGAGTCAGTGCACCAAAGGTGAAGAGAGGTTTCCAGACAACGTGCTGAATAATTCAGAGTTTCTCACTCGGTACAAATAGCCATTTTTTTTTGCTGACACACAGCACAACCTGTGTTTTTCTCTGAACACGGCTCATTTGGCCCTGCGAAGCAGAAGGCTCTTCCTCAAACTTTAAAGTTTAATTTGATTCACTGCACTTTGAAATTATTCTGCAATTAATCCACTTTACAAGGGAAATACCTATGAAAATTTAATTATATTTCTCCATTAATTGTTGAGATCGTTAAGCATATAATATCCTTGTAGGCCTATGGGTACGGAGCAAGGAATCGCATAACTCAAGAGAGTGACCGTGTTTTGCTGTAAGGTAGAGATGAAAGAGTACATCATTGTGTGCAACCGCTATGACAGTCGCAGCCCTTAATTATGATTTGTTATAAAAATTATGAGTCGCAGGCCTTCAAAATGACATACCGTACACAACAGAATGCACTTGAGCAGTCACGCTGACATTTATCAAGGCTCGAGGCTGAAAATTAAAATCAGTAGTGGATTCAGGGCCTGGTTTTACAAAAACTACACCTTTTACATCACCATGAGTGACAGTGGTCTGATGGAACAGAGTTGTTTTCTTGACCTGTTACTTGAGAAAAATATTTACGTTTAAGTGATCTTAAAATAAAAGGTCATAAACTAACTTTTTTTCCCTCCATTCTGCAGTAACTGCATATGATTATGCATTTGGCAACTTCATTATTGGACACACAGAAATGTCATGTCACTGCATTTTTAATAAACAACACATGAATGAACTCTACAGTAAGACTTGGCCTATTTAAGCGTAATCGTTTGGGAGTTAATCGTCTATGACCATAATGACAGTAATATAGAGACAGTTTAAAGTATACAGCCAAATGCTATCTAAATAAAACAACAAAGGGGAGAGAGAAACAGAGACAGAGAGAGAGAGAGACAGAGATAGACATAAGAGAAAGAGATACAGAGACATGGGAGAGAGAGTAAAGATATCCTTTGAGTCAACATATCTCCATGCCTTTTCTGCAGTTCAGTCCAACATAATGAGAACTTTATGTCAATCAACATCCTACAGCCACCTGGCATGCCTGCATTTAATGTGACCTAATCCAGTGAGTCATGGAGTAGATCCTGACATTGGTTAATACAGCACAATGCTCCTTATTGATAAGGAGGGAACAGTTATGACTGCGCACTGGGGAAGGCCTCAACACCAGATAAAGGTCATTTAAACTGTAGATCATAAAAAAAATAAAATAAATAAAAAAACAACAACTTTTTCCACAGATATTTCTTGCTGTAGCCCTATGTCTAAACGCAGAGCTCCGGAAAAATTGGCCTTAATAAAAATAAGGCATAAAAAGATCCATAACAGTGCTGGAATGAGAAATCTCCAAAAAAAAAAATAAATAAATAAAATAAATGAAAAATAAAAAATAAAAAAACAGCAACCTAATCACCAACATCAATGTGTTTTAATTTATTTTAGCTCCACACTCCTAATAAAAGAGTATAAATAGAAGAGGGTGTGTTACATAATAACAATACTATAATAACAACAATAATTAATTCCAGTGATGGACTTTTTGCAGCAATGACAGGCTAAAATATTACTACTAAAACAGCTATGACAAATTAAACAACATAAGACACTAACAAACTAGACAAATGCATCAGCTCCTTTAACCCTCAGGTGTCTTACTTCTACATCCATCACCTCCTTTTAACCCAATCTCTTTACACTAAAGCAGCCTTTGACACAAATGATTACTCCCCTGGCTAAGCTGTCATATTGTGGGAACGTATACATCAGCTTAGTGTCCATTTAATTAAAGGGAGAGGCTTATTTATTTATTTAAATGGAATCAGACTTGTAGTAGGCTACAAGAAATACTGCACAACTGTCATTAGTATCGAACAGCTTACAGGGGAGACCACCACCGTCACCTGAGCTGTATCCCGGAGCAAACAGACCACCGCCAAGACGCGGGGGGGTAAAAACACAGCGCTTACCTGAGGAACACTGTCTCTCCTTGCCGGACGGTGATATTGTCCATCACTTTGTTGTCAGACTGAGAGTCCCCCTGGCTCCGGACTGGCAAACCTGCGGGAACAAGAAACAGCAGCCTGAGACAGAGCAGCAGCAAGCGCTTCCAGCAGCCGCACACTTCCATCTTCAGCTCCCCCTTCTCTCTCTCTCCCTCCCTCTCTCTCTCTCTGAGACTCCGCCGTAAACACGCGACCAGCGAGGCGCCGAGGAAAGTGTCAGTTAGCCATTATAGTTCAGCGGTTAATCCAGGTAGAGTGGAAAAAAATCCCCCCGGCGAGTTAGCGGCGCTAAAGCTTCTCTCCCCTCCTCAGATTAGGCTGTTGTTCAGCATCGTAAAACGTGTGCGGCTCCTTGTTTTGTGTGCGGGCTGTTTTCTCTAAAACGCCCCCAGTTCTAAATCCACTCTTCGCCGCGTTAACATCTACTTTGACTACTTAAAGTTGAGGCGGAGGGAGTGGGCAAGTGAGACTGCTTGACGAAACGTGATTGAGGGAGGCTGCGCATTCCCACTCTCTCTCTTACACACACACACACACACACACACACACACACACACACACACACACACGCCTGCACACCAACACGCTCACACACAAGTTTGTATTCCTGTCGCTGATGGATATTTCGCGTTGTATTAGAAGGCTACTGGGGCTAAATACCGAATTATTATGTAAATATAAATAATGTAACTACCGCTACACCCGACACAAACCCTGCCTCACCAACAGGACTTCTTTTTTCCAAACAGAAACTTCATTTCAGTATGAAAAGGCGCTTTTGTTCCTTATTGGGACCAGCCACATGTCCCCACAACGTCAAACCGTCAACGTTTTCCACCATCCTACATGTATTTGGTCCTCACAAAGAGCTAAATACATGTGCACTAATTCCCACACACACCCACAAGCGGCACAAAAGTGCTTGTAATTCGCTCCGTTCAGTTAAGTTCACTTATGAGCACCGACATGTTCTTGAAAATGAAAAAAAGACCGCCTGCTATTGTTGCTGTGGGGGAAAAACATATCTAAAAATGAGTCGGAGCACCGAAACAGCATCACTGCTCCGCTTTTAAACTCAGCGGGAAAAAAGAAGACAAAAGCTAACTATAGGCTAAGCTAGGCTAACATGGATGTGGAGAGGAGCACGTTGTCATGGCAGCAGCGTCACGCGCTGCCTTGTTTTGGCGCGTGAATCTGTGAGCCTTCACTCAGATATAGCGACTCTGTGATGTTTCTCACATTGATGTCGCTGCTCCATTCCTGTAAATAGCAACACGGATTAAAAAACAAACTGAAGTAAGAGTTACAGACCGCCACGCTGAGGATAAAAGTGTTCATTAAGTTATGAATACAGACGGGTCTAACTGCAGAGCCGCGGTACCGGACTGTCTGACCCGTATATGACGTTATATAATGGTCGACAGGCTTTCTAGTCACCGTAGGCCGCGTTATATATGTTTCAGAAACCTTAAACACTAAGGCTGCGTCCCAAATGGCCCCCTGCATAACTGAGATATGTGGACTTCTACTATATGTCCTGAATTGTCCACATGCGCCTATCTCAAATGGCTCTTTGTTAGACATATTATGCACTGTTTGGGTGCTGGAGTTATTATGTTAAGACCTACACAGTACACTGCATAGGGAGCAAGGAGCCGTTTGCAATTCAGCCTTAGTGACCATGAAACAAAAAAGTCTGTTGTGCTGTCCAGCTGGAGAGTCAGGCTGCGTGAACGTTTGGCTAATCAGAAATGATTTACATCTGTACAGGCATAACAGCAGCCCGCAGCACAGAAATACACTGTGACATTACAACACCGGCTCACACTGCCATGGAAGTGTGGGAGGCGTGGACGTGCAAAGCGGCCACGCACAGAGGCCCTCGGAAGGTGGCACGCTTGTGGTAGAAGAGACATTTATCATTAGAATTAAGTTGTTAGTTTAATGAGTTGCTGTTGTTTTGCTTGTGTTTTACTGTATTGGGCTGTGGGGTAATAGTGCCAGTATTAGGGCCCAACAAAGTGAAGATATATGGTTAGATGTAACCTGCCTGCTTCCTGGCTGTAGCTAGCATTGAGAGGTGGTTCTCTCTTGCTGCCTGTTCAATAAAAGAGCATTCATATTTAAAGTGCAATGTTTTCTGCATCGTCATCTTGCTAACACTACAATACTTTAGAACTGAAAGAACTATAAATGTTACCATAAATATAAATAGTTTCTCTGTTGGTTTCTCTCATCTAATAAGAGTAACACAGCAGATGTTCAGTCCACCGTTTACTGCCATGGTTGTGAGAGCCGAAAGTGCGGCTGCAGTTTCTAAACAGAGGTGCAGAGAGCTAAAGTGCGGAGGCTAAACTCGCCAAGCTGCGGCTCTGCAGATGGATACTACTGCATGAACAGGGGAGTCCTATTCTGTGGCGTCTTTCACGGTCATCGCATTCAAAAGTACTCAATACAGAACATACAAGCAAGGTTAGATTTATGACTGGTAAGTTCTCAGCTGGAAGGTCAAAATAACTCAGAATATTAAGTGAAAGGCCTGAATTTAAGGGCCTCTCTTTCTGTTCCTACATGCAACACAATGTGGCAGTGCCTAAATATGCACTTCTATGGAAGCCACTTAAATTACTTCATTTGCTATCCAGTGTCAAACAGGAGGATATTTCCTTTTTGAGTCTTTGCTCCTGTTGTTTTCTCATGATAGGCTCAGACTATGATTTCTCTAAAGCTGCTTTGTAACGACAGCCGCCTGTAAAACGCCCTGTGGCATTTGAACTGAATTGCATTTAACTAGGTAACAAGTGGCAGTGCCATGTCAAGGACTGAGACTCTCTGAGATTTTAATGTGGATATATTACCCTACAGAAATTCTCTCATTGAACATCTTAATAAACACATCTGGTGACAAAGTATCACAAACTAGGAAAATTTTTACAATTTTTTTGAAAGATGCCACCACTTTGAGACTGTTTACACTCTGCAGCGGCAATTATTTTTCGATGCCTGAATCAAACGTTAACACAGCCTCAATGCATGTGTTGTGTTTTTTTTTTGAGTGTGTGGGAAAAGTAAAAATGGATCCATACATGGAATCTGGCCAAAGAATATCCAGACAGAATCTGGACATGAAACACATGTTAATGCAAGGCGTAAAGAAGTACTTTCACTCCTGGATCATGTAGGCCTGGTGATTGTACACCCAGTGTCTTTGTGCTTGTGTTCGTGTGTGTATTATTCTATTACATATATATGTAATAGAATTACACATATAATAGTGTGCACTACTCTATACTCTAATACATGAGACTATAGGCCAACTATATTATCACAGGAGGATATATCCATGAGAAAAATATCAGAAAAAAATGCAGAGGAAAAGGATATCCTCCTACACTTCAGGAGAACTAATTGCTCGATGACTCACTGCACTGCCGTGGTACTAATCTCAGTCATGTCATTTTAATGAAAAACAGACAGCGAACATACTTAGACGAATAAGAACTGGTAAATAAAAAAAATGAATAAATAAAATTAAATATAGATGACTTCCACTCTTTTGCCAGTCTAGATCTTACATGGACATGCCTATTCACAATAGACACATTATTGGGTGAGTTCAATTTAATCTTATCAGGAGATCTTTAGAACAAGCGACTAGAACACTGAATAGATTTTACAATTAACACGTTAGCATTTACCAGACTCTCTCAGTTTAAAGTAAAGGTTCTTTCAAAGAGTGTAATTATTGGCTTAAGTGAGATTTGATGAACTCACTGATTATTAACACATTATTTGATGAACTTTTTGTTGATTATAACTAGAAATGTTGATGCTGACTACTTCTCTTCATTCTCAATAAAATGTGGAACTGTTTAAATCAGCATTCCCTGGTCCTGGGCCTGGAGTGGCCCTGGACTACTTTTAATGCTCATGAACACTTAATTCAACTCATCAGCTATTCGCCAAACCATTATTGATCTAAATATCTGGTGGATTTACGTGTCCCTTTGACAAAAAATATTTTTTATGAATGTAAATTACCATCATATCTGTTCTGTCACCATCCTCTAAGAGCAGGAAGTACACATGCATTCTCTATTATAATTCAGTGGTATTTAGTGGTATTTGTACACTAGTTACTTGATTGTTCACACTTCAAGGTTCTGATTTGTTGACCCCACTAAAAGTAAAAAGCGACAGAAACTAATAGTAATTGTGGGCCATATAGCGCCTTGTTACTTGAGTGTAACTGACCTAGAAAAATCTCCTTATGCTGAATCAAATTTCCACCACATTCACCCTTGAATATGAGAAAACATTACATTTAGGCTGTACAGTATGTATATACAGTGCTGTACAGTGCTGCAGTATTTGCCTTCTTCCTAATGTCATATATTTTTGCATATTTATCTCAAATGTTTCAGATCATCAAGCTACTTTTAAAATTAGACAAAGATTACCCAAGCAAACACAAAATGTTTTACAAAAAAGTTTTAAATGATGATTCCATTTTTTATTTTGAAGGAAAAATTCTGTTCAGCCCTGTTTGGCTCTATTTGGAACAAGTTATTGCCCCCTTAGCTACTAAATCAACCAGTTTACCAAAATCAATCCACTACTGGGTTCAGTTTCACTAGCCACACCCAGGCATGATTACTGCCATACCTACTGAATCTAAACATCGCTTAAATAGAAACTGTCTGGCAATGTGAAGCAGACTAGAAGGTCTCATAAAGCAACACATGATGCCACATTCTAAAAAGATTCAAAGACAGATGCATAATAAAGTCTACCAGTCTGGAAAGGGTTACAAAACCATTACTAAGGCTCTGGGACTCCAGCGAACCACAGTGAGAGCCATTGTCCACAAATGGAGAAAGCTTGGAACAGTGGTGAACCTTTTCAGGAGTGGCCGGCCCACCAAAATTCACATTTTCGCATCGAAAACTCATCCAGGTCACAAAGAATCCAGACAAACATCTAAAGAACTGCAGACCTCACCTGCCTCAGTTAAGATCAATGTACACTGGAGATTCCACTGGGCAAAAATGGCAT